CTATGAGTTCAGGACATGAAACCAGACGGCTGATACTATGTACAGATTGTGAAGCGTGCTGTTCTACACTTCGACACCATTGGTTTAAATACACTGCTAAAAAAGGGAACACTTGATCATCGCAGTGTAACACAAAGTCAGTTAAACTTCTATGCTATCACCAGCGTTCTCTTCACACTGAGCCTCTGTGAGTCTGGACAGTTTAGAGAGGCTGTGCCAAATGTTAAGATGCCTGTAACTTCATCTGTCATGAGAACAGGGCAACAGTGGCAGACCTACCAGTTCTGTTTTTTCTCTGGCAAATGCCAGTCAAGCTGGAAGGCACTGGTCTTTGAGCACAGGTCCCACTAAAGGGCATTCAGCCCTCACATGGCCCTCCTGGATTCTGTTTGGCCAGACACATGTACATTAATAGCCTGCTGGAGGTCATTTTGCAGGATTCTGGCAGTGCTCTTCTTGTTCTTCTTTGTCCATCTCTTCATGTAACAGCCCACCTCCTGGTTTATTCTCCACACTCTTGTACTGTGCTGGGAGACACAGCAAATCTTTTTTGTGATGGCAGGCCTGGATGTGTTTAATTTAGGAAAAACTGAATAGGCTGCTGACATTTGTCTTGTTTTTGCCTCTCCAGTGTATGCATTGTCATTTTCTTTTGCACCAAAGCAGGTGTAAAGGATTCAAAATGGTATGTGCTTCCTAACTGGACAGACTATGTAAACACATCCTGATTTAAATGTGAATAAATGGGATTCTTGAGTTATGTTTTTATGTAATGTAAAATTTTCAGCCTAACTTGAAACCATGTTTTGTTTCAATTGTCACCATGCAAGTGTCATCGATGTGTGACATTTCTTAAGGCAGGAAGGCCCTATGGAAAAACATGTTGCCCAACCCTGGACTAGAGGCACGAGTAATGCATTGAATAGAGATATATGTAGGATATTTGAGTGTTATTACTGCAACAATAATAAGAACTAATAACTTGTTAAGGGGTGTTTCAATAGTGCAGGAGTTTATGTACTTGGCTAACAAACAAAAAGTCTCCAGTTTGATCCTGAGAGGAGACACAAATCTTTGGAAGATATGATGGGACCTGATTATTCAAGACTTTGTATGTAAGGAGAAGGACTTTAAATTCAATGATAGATTCAACAGTGAACCACTAAAGATAAACTAATCTTCGTCTTTCGGATGCTCCCGCTAGGGGTCGTCAAAGCTCCATCTCTACCTAAGCCTAGCATCCTCTTCTGTCACGCAAGACCTTCTGGAGGCCCTGCTTCCCTACATCCATGAATCTTCTCTGTGATCTTTTTCATTTCTTCGTGCCTTCTGGGTCCATCTTCAAAATCCCTTTTTCAAAATATCCACTATTGCTCCTGTACACATGTCCAAGCTATCTCAGCCTTGCCTATCTAACTTTGTCTCCAAAATGCTCAACCTGAACTGTTCCTCTGATATACTCATTTCTAATTTTGTCTCTCTGTCAAGAAATAAGAAAATCTAGTATAGAAGAAACATGATCTATCTTTCTTAACCCTGTCAGTACTCTCGCTGCAGCGTTTTGGATTAAGGGGAACATCAGTGCATCACTGAAGTCACAGTGCATTGATTTGCTCAGCGTGTAATGCCTTTAAATATCCACAAAGGGGCAGAGTAGACCAATTTAACTAAACAACAGTCGGGCTAACGATTAGAGATGGGGGTTGAATAGATAGAGAGCATACAGAAAGGACGGAGAGGGTTGCAAAAGTCAATGAACAGACAGTGGGATTGTCCACTTCATTCGGTGAAAAGCAATTATGTCCCAGGCTCACAAGTGAGCAGAAACAGGTCCATTTGTAGCTATTTTTAACTCCCTGACGCCTCTGAGCCCTACAGTATTGTTTAATCATTCCAAAGTATTGAGTGTGCCCACTTTGGCCAATTAGGCCAAAACCCCCCCAGTCTGTGTCACAGTCAAACTGGATAAACGACACGCGAGCGCAGTCTCATAAAGTAACCGCTTATTTAAACCAGCTAAAAGTCGTGTCCTGGATTGTTATCCCAACCTAGAAACCCCCCAAAGAATCCAAACAATGCGTTGTCTAATTGGGTGAAGGGTTGAGGGAAATCTGTCTGATTAGCCTTCTCCAACAGACGGGGATTAAGCTTTTGGTCTGTAATTATTATAAAGCATACGTCAGCAGACATCCACCCATTTCAGTGGAGCAGAGGGATCCTGCGAGGTGACTGTGCTCTCTCTCAGGCCAAGTCAGACGCGAGGACCCAAGAATAGGAGCAGTACTGGAGCAGGAACAGGAATATCCTCCTGAGTCAGTGCCACGACGCTGACAAACCACGCTCCCCGGCAGAGCTGCCTCTGCTCCGATAATCAGCATCCTATGCTATTCTGCTCAAGATGGCGGTGCAGGCAGCGGAGAAGGACGGAGTAGTGAGTATTTTGAAGGTTTTCGGGGAACCGATCCGGGGTTACGTGTGTTGGTATTTATTTTCTGTGCATGGGGGGCCTGTTAGTTGCGATTTAAGCGCACCGTTAGGTCGATTATCCGGCGCTTATTGTAAATGCGGAGCGCCGGGCGCAGCGCATTCAGAGCGTAGGGCGACTCCTCTTTCATCTGTGGCCGGGGAGGAAATAGGGAAATCCAATACGCTGTGGTGAAATGCACCGGCGGTAGTGCAAGATGGTGCCAAATGTGGGGCTCATTTATAATAACTCATGGCTCCCGGCAGGAACGCTGATAACAACATGACAGGTCTGCTGCCACCTCGTCATTGTTGTTGCACGCCGCGTACGAGGCCACATATATTGTGCATATATTGAATGATAGGCCTGTAGCCTCTTGTTGTGCCTTTAACCTCAGCCATGCAAGTTGTATATCCTACCTGACAGAGCGATAAATGATACTTTGCATCCTGTGTCTTTTGTCACTGGTGTTGAAGAATGTGGAAGAAGACCACCTGAATGACTCGCTGGGGAACCCCGGCCTCATCTCACCTGACAAGGAGGATTTATCACGCCTCCTGGTATGAAATATTTAAACGATTTCCCGAGTGTCCTTGTTTGATGCTCGCTCCTGGCTGTGCGTAATAAATTCAATGTGTGCAATGCGTAGACGGTGCCATTCAGCGGGCGCATCCGGGGGGGCATGCGGCCGGGGAAGAAGATAATAGTGATGGGCATCGTGGACCTGGAGCCAGACAGGTAACATAACACCTCACAAAGGCATGCATGCACACACTCTTTATCTGGAGCCGTGTTTTTGTCTCTGCATATTTAAAACATTCTGATTTACGTCTGCACAGTACACATTCTTTGCTAAAGGATGTTAGAGATAGGATGGGGTTTTTTTTTGTTCTTAGGCTAGTCAGACTTGCACGGCCACTCGAGGACACACTGAGTAATGCGTAGGCAGCCAGAAAGAACAGTGGCTCCTTAAGTATGCAGAGACAGGGCGTTCCCTCACCAGCAGGGAGAAAAAGGGGGGGGATTTTCTTTTTTTTTTTAAATTTTTTTTAAAAAAAAGAGAGAGATCCAGTGAAGCAGATTTGTTTGGGTGTGTCCTTACCCTACATGGAAACTTGTGTCAAACTTGGAAGAAACCTCTCGATGACCTCATCTTGTTTAGTGCCTGCTGCTGGGAGGGTTTTCCATGCCAAAGTTCATGTGAATGTCCCAACAGACAGAACAGCTCCAAGGCCTAAACACACAGTCTTTCTTTGTTGCGTCTCATTACTTAGAAACTTGATGCCTGTAACTGTGACCATAAACTTACACCAAGACGCATAACTGTGCAGCAGCAGCAGGGGAGGGTGGATAAACGGAACTAGCAGCAGGGATTATGCATAATTAACTCACAATTGGTGAGAATTGTTCTTACGCAGCAGAATTATGCATCTCATTTATCCCAGATTATCTGATGTGTGCTTTACCACTGCATCCTGCCTGAATACCCGATACCCCGGTTTTGTTTTTTTTTGTTTTTTTCATACCCTCAGCTTTGATGTCAGCCTGACCTGCGGACGTGATTCAGAGAAAGGGGAGCCTCCATTTGATGTGGCCCTGAAACTCACGGCTCGTTTCACTGACCGTCAGTTCCTTCGCAGCGCTCGGGTTTCTGGGAAATGGACAGAGGAGGAGGCGTCCACTGTGTATTTTCCCTTCATCCCTGATCAGCCTTTTAGGGTAAAAAAAATCCCTTTTCTCACATCAAATAATTCTGGGTAATCCCCAGCAGTCGACTGTAGCAGAGATATTTTCAGAATTAGTTATGTGAGATTATCTGCGCAGCATGATAATGGAACACAAACAGGAAATGTTGTCCATGCTTCATCATATTGTAATGTAAATACAGCCTGTAGCCCATATAGTGGCCTGTTTACTGCGTTAGGACCACATCAGCTGTTGTGGTGTGCTGAATGAGTTGGAGTTGGAGGGTGGAGGGGGTTGAGCAGCAGGGCATATGCATGATGAGTAATCTCATAACACCCGAGGACTTGTTAGCTCTTTAATGTCATATTCTGCTCCAATAAGTCTGAATGTGCACATGAATAACACACATGGTGTACAGCTAAAAATATACAACAGTGGCAATGGAGCGAAGAACAAAGCATGAAGTTTCTCGAGATGTTTTCAGGACACTGAATGAAGTTGTTCTTTCTCCAGTGTAGCCGAAGGTCTGTTTAAAGTGCCAAGTTCACGACACCCACACGTCACCGTGAAATGCACCATAACATTTGCTGCAGTGTTGGCAGCTCTGTGAAATCCATATAGAGGTTATACTTGAGGAGCTGGAGGCTAAAAGACGGCAAATGCCCAAAGCAACTGGGTCGGTAATTTGTGTACTTGTAACCATCTCTATTGCGTAATGTCTCGAAATGTTCAGGACTCTAGTGCATGTGTACAAATTTAGTAAAAATTTATTTTGGCACTGATTGCTGGAGCTATTTTTATTTATCTTGCATAGTGATTGTGACGTGATCTGCTTGAGAAGGAGGTCCAAAGTCTCTCACAGGTGCGCACTGCAGCTGAGTTTGGTTCACTGTCAAAACCAGTGCATATGATTAATCTCCTTTGCAAACTTAAACAATTCAGTAACCCCTTGCTATCCTTTTGATGGGGTACATTATAGTCCTGGAAGAGACCACTCCACCATGAGTTTATGGATTTACAGTGATCCTTACTTCTAAGGAGACACACACAATGTGAGCAAAACTATTCCAACATCATAACAGAGCCACTGGATCCCCTCATTGCTGGGGTCAAAGTAAAGTAAAGTGTGCGTGTTAGTCCCATAGGGAAATAGTTCCTCTGCATTTAACCCATTCACCCAGTGAAGCAGTGGGCAGCCGCCAGTGCAGCGCCCGGGGAGCAGTGTGTAGGGACGGTACCTTGCTCAGGGGTACCTCAGGGTAGCCGTTCAGTGGAGTCGAACCCCCGACCTTCCGATCATGGGGCTACCACTCTACCTACTGAGCTATCCCTGCTCCAGTCAAGGGTTTTTGCTTAGTGTGTTTTCCAGTCTGATATCTTTAAAACTCAGCTGTGGATGCATGAGAATTTTTACAAAGAGAAACTCTTTCTGTTTTTTAAGAATGCGAAATATGCATATGCAGACACAACAACTTAAGTTATTTTTAGAGGTGAACCCTGCATCTGGTTGTTGAATGTCAGCTCTCTGATAAAGTGTCATTGTTTGTGGTTGCAGCGTGACTGAGCAGGTCGGCACAGTCATGACTCTGTCGAAAGCTGGAGGCTGGAGATTAAGTCTGCCATGCAGAATGTTTAAAACAAACTCCCTCCTGAATCCAGGGGCATGTGGAGAGACACATGATGTGCTGTGGTCTCAGAGCAGGATGGCTTGTTTCTGCTGCTTCATCTAAAACGTTCTGCCTTGAGTTGTTTGACGGTTTCCTTTTTTTTTTTTTTTTTTTTAAATTCCCCCCCACTGGCATAAACCACGCGGAGGTGTTTATGCAGTTACATTTTTGTTGTCGGTTTGTTAGGATTCAGTGTGTACACGTACAAACAAGAGAAGAAAATGAGAGCGAGGCTTAGCTCTAGCCTACTTATTCAATAACGTTTTGGGAGCTTTAAATGTTTTAACATCAACTAAAATAGCTGATAGTCATCCTCAGTGTAAGGGGTCATTTGGTCTTTCTCTTTACAAGCGGTTGTCTTTATCATGCACCCTAACCAAGGAAGAAAAAATGACAGATTAGCTTGGGTAAAAGACCGAAAGTTGAGGCACACAACAATGTGTGCTGCTGGTAAAGTTTCTGAGCTGCCTTTCCTCATAACAAGCATCCGTCAACGTTTTCTCCATTTAAAGCAATGCAATATCAGGGATTGTAACATCTAGTCCTTTACTGAATCTATTTTGTAATGGTTTACTCGAATTAAAACTGCACAAATAATATTTTTATATTAACGAGCAGAGAAAGAAATGGTTGTATAAAGTGAGATGCGTCCCTTCAGCTCATGAGGTGATTGTGTGTAACTCTGACACAGCTTTTTCCACCCACCCAATTTCTTCTGCTTATTGTGACTGTATGGAATGAGTGTGTTCAGTCTCTACTTGTCATGAAGTCAAAAGCGGTTAAAGTGCGGTATTTTCTTTCCACCTTTTGCCTAACTGTCTTTTTCTCCATGTCTTTCTTCCTTCTGCAGATTGAGATCCACTGCGAGCACCAGAGGTTCCGGATATTCGTGGATGGACACCAGCTCTTTGACTTTTATCACAAAGTAAAATCTTTGCCCTCTATCGACACAGTACGAATACAAGGAGACCTACAGATTACCAAGCTCGGTTAACTTGCCCTCTGACCAATTCCCGCTCTGCAAGTCGTGTGTGAAGCAAGGACTTGATCACACATGACCACACACACACGTGCGCCTGTTACATCATCATCCATAGCCCATCGTACAGCACTGCATCAGCATAGTAACTGGATCAAAGTTTTTCTGCTTTGCTGTTTCTTCTTCTTCCTCTTCTTTATGTTGAACCAGGATCTGATGTGATGGTGCTTTGTGGGTGAATGTGTTTGATCCATTTTTCAGGTATTTTTCCCTTGTAGCCCCAGTTTTTAGATCAGCGAACTTGTAGCTTATTTATAGGACATTCCACTTTTATGTCGAATCCTTTAGGGAATTTGAGATGGAGGCAGGTGTGGAGGTTTGAAGAAACCAGTTAAGATAAAAATATCTGACAATTAGCAGCTAAAGTGAAAGTTAAGTGTTGCTCATGGATAGAACAAAATCAAAAACTTAAACTCAATTCAACTCACTTTGTTTAAACATACAAGCGTCCTCTTAAATCTTTTGCTGACCAAGCAACGTGAACAAATGTGCAGTAAAACTCAGACAGACCAGAGCAGTGTTCCCAAATCAGGCGGATACATGATGTTATGCGAGATGCAACTGGTTTCAATTCAAATATACCTGGACATATATGTATATTTGATATGCTTTAGTTAGATTGAGCTCAGCACCTCTGGATGTGTAACTATTTCAAAAACTCATCTGAGCACAACACAAGACAGCATAGCGGCCTGTTTTCTCTCTGCTGATGTATATCCAACTCTGCTGGCACTCCTCTGCATCCCTTGGGTTTATTCCAGTTGTCATGGTAACACGTCGCAGCCTCATTGACCTAAATACTCAAAAATGAGGATTATATCATGACAAGATGTAGCATCCCATGCTTAACACAGCGTGTCTGGGTAGTTTGCATTTTTCTTTTTTTTTTCTTCTTTTTTTTAACTACAGCCACTCTCCTGTCGGTAGATTGCGCTATAGAGGCAGTAGAGCTGCAGAGAAATGTTATTTAAAATTTGACTTCTGCTCCTTTTTTCTTTTGCAAGCCTCATCAGAGTTGAACACTAAAATAAGATAGAAGTTTTACTCCTTATATGAAGAAGAAACCGTGCTGTCAGCGAGGTCACAGGTTCAGCCGGGTGCAGGTTCAGTCACACATTTTGGAGTC